AATCCATTTTCATGCAAGAAATTCTTTCTATTTGCAGTTAATAATGATGGATTTTAATTCAAATTTAGAAAGTATTCTTGTGAATTGCTGACCTAAAACTGAAAGCGAACGACGACGATGGTTGATCAGTTGTAAGTTTGCAGTAGATTTCACAAGACTCATCGATTATATTATACATGCTTTAGGTTGACGAATTCCTTCTTTTAATTGAATTTTCTGAGGTCCCAACCTAGGACAATAAGCCATTTGGTCCAGAACACAAAATTTGGCTTCAAAAATGCTAGTTTGAAAAGTAGTTGAAACGCTCGTTTTTGACCTGAGACACTGAATTGTGTGATTTCTCGATTTCGCATGTTCCTAGAATTCATCCCTCAGAAAGACGCCCGCCCGCCTTCTCATCTGGAAGCAATCAGTGGTAAATTTCGCCTCAAAAAAAATATATATATATTCTGCACATAAGGAAAACAACAGTAATTCATCGTCATAACTCGCATGTTCATCATTTAAAAAACGTTGCAAATAAGTGTTGTAATCAATAATGCCCAAGCTCTAGAACCAAAAGATTTTTTGGTTCTATCAAAAAATATCGCAACAAATGTTAGTAGCCAAAGCTGAAGACGGAGCCACAGCCGAAAGTTTGATGAATGCGGAATTGGAGATGGCACTTTCAGAGACGGAAATTCCAGAAAATTCCTGAGCTGGTGGCGAATCGTCTAAAAAGGTTGATGAGCCAGAGCTGGGGCTGGAGCTGAACTTTAAGAACTGTGGAACTGCAGTTGAATAAATTTTTTGATATTCGGGCATCACTGGTCACAAATCGTTTTGGAAGTATACTAACGAAGAAAGAGTAGAACAAATGTTATGCGAACAACAGCAATGACAGTGTTTAGACAATAATTGTGGTTTTCGGAAGGAAGCACACAGTGATGATCATTGGTTTGCATTTGCAGTTCACGTTCATTTAGCCGTGCTGATCAGTTGCATTCATTCAATTGCACTGACTACTTGAATGCGTAAGTGGCGATGATAGCTTTGTCTTCTCGTTATGACGACTTTTCGTCATCGTTTAACGAGAAATCTGAATGCTTTATGGCAGTAATCCGAGGCCTACAGCATTTCGAACACTGGTCGCATTGTTGTTGTTGTGCCTAACTAACGCACAATGTAAATGTGGCGCAACTTCTTTTCGATGAGCCATAAAGAGGTTGTTTTCGATCAACAATACACCATTTTGGAGAGTGGGACCAGGCAAATTTAGAAAGTCGGAATTCAAGCTGTTTCGTTGCGCTGAAGGTGGAAGAAAATTTGATCCGACAATCTTCTGAACCAATTTTTTGAGTGAATTTCTGCACAGATGAGCAACAGATGCATTCTTCTGAGCCAAAAACTGCAGAAACTTTTTCGTATTTCATTTTTTTCACACCAAAATTTTAGCCTTAACAAGACTTCATGTATTATTTTCATTGCAATCTATTCAGAGACTTTCAAGTGTTTTCATCTTTAGTGAAGCTGAACAAAATCTCTTTCATTTGCTCTTCTTTTTCACATGTTATGCAAATTTCACTTTTTTTTCTAAGTGCGTACGACTTCATTTTGGTGCCTTTAAGTTGGAGCATTTTTTTCTTCGTTTTTCTTTAAATCTTTCGTCTAAAAATCTAAATCAAATGATAAGCTAAATGAGAACCAGTGAATCGATTTGAATCGACTATGCACACTCGCACTGTTCAACATCACTCCAGGAAACAAAGACTAAATGTCATTTTACTGCCATTTCGTGCAGTTGTCTTCATCTACGAAAATATTGGTTTCCTGAGAATTTGCATATGTTGTTGTTATTTTTGCGATGTGATCTCATCGTATTTCTACTTTTCTGAGTAAAACGTTTTTTTTTTTTTTGGGTGGAGGGGGGCTAGTCAACGTCCTCTCCGCTTGTTCTCCTTGAATGAACGAAGTACACGAAAAATTCTTACTTTCTATCTATGGACCGCCAAGACGAAGAGAGAATGTAACTGATGGATCTGTGAGCAGCAGTCTATTAGAAGATCGAATAATACGGGAATATGCATTCATTATAATCAGTTAGCACTGCAGTGAATCAGAATGTTGAAGCGTTGAATCGAATGAGCCGTTCATTTGCATTTCGTATGAAAGTATGATATCAACGTGCGATTCGTGGTTTCATGTGGATGTGCTCCGTTGCGTCCGAATTCGAAGCACCATGTGAAGCTGCTATACGACCGTTGATTATAGCCCTAAACTCGAATTGAAAACTATGTTATCGTTTCAGTTCTTGCCTAATCACTCTTATCAATCACCAACCATAATCGCTGAATCTTTCATAGATCCTTGAGTTTTCATAACACTCATTTCTACTCTTCATCACACCACTGTTTAGAAATGAGAATTTCCTGCAGTTAATCAAAGTAAAATCATTACTCGCGGGTTTGCCCAGTAACATATTAATTCCTCAACATCATTCGATTCCTCAGAACTTCTGGATTCAAAATATTATATA